AAGCATAACAAGCATCAAGTTCATCAAAAAAGGATATTTCAAATGAATCAACGGGATCATAACAATTATCATAGCATTCATCCTTCGGTGAGAATGAAGGGGAATTAAATAATGTATGAGTTAAAGAGTTACTCTCATTAGAAGGTGGGCACGGGCAGCTAATCCACTCTTCCTCTGTTTGTTCTTTGCTCTCCTCGTCATTCTTTTCATCCAATGAGCTCACAGTTTCATCATTTTCTTCTTCCATAGACTCCTGCAAAATGTTAATCTCTTCTTTGACAGCGGAGATATTCTCAATAAATGCATCAATATCGCAATTGTATTTATAATTATAATGGCAATATTTAAGAATATCAAGATTTTCAGGTCTATAGCCAGCATCATCATCATCTTCATACTTTAAAAACAGAGATTCAGAAGCACCCTTAAAAGCAACAAATTCTTCTATTCATTCCACATCATAGTAATCATATATACCATTAGCATAAGAAGCTAAGGTTTAGGGAAGGTGTTTCTTAGGGTCTTCAGAACAACAAGTAACATCATATAATTCATATAAATCCCAAGCATAGCATTGCATAGTATTAATTTGATGCTGTAAAAGTTTCCCTTTTTCAGATAAACGACGTCGCACAAAACAAGCATGCTCATCTAATGATTTTCCCTCAACTAAGCTAGTTGGGTTTTCAGCATGAGCACAAATGGATCGAAGATTATCCAAGTAGAAAGCTTCAGTAGTATGATATATTTTCGGTGGTTCTTCAACCATTGGTTTAGTAGGTACACCTATTTTTTGGTATTTTGCGTTTCCTACCCATAACTAAAGATAGAAAACAAGAGCACAAAATAAATACTACTTAGTGATAAAGCAAACAAGCACACACGAGAATATTCACCCCACGCTATAACTCCCCGGCAACGGCGCTAGAAAAATTTCTTGATAACCCACAAGTATAGGGGGTCGTTTGTAGCCTTCTTCAATAAATAAGAGTGTCGAGCCCAACGAGGAGCTAAAGGCAGAACAAATATTCCCTCAAGTTCTATCGACCACCGATACAACTCTACGCACACTTGATGCTTGCTTTATCGGAAACAGGTATGAAACTATTTTGTAGGTGTGATGCTAGAACTACTTTTCAAGAATAAAACTAGAGGTACTTTGCAAGATAATAAAAGTTAGATGTTTAGTAAAAGGGTTTGTGTCAACAAGAAAGTTATTTGTCCCTAGGCAATCGATAACAAGTACCGGTAATCATTCTTGTAATTTTATATGAGGGAGAGGCATGACCTAACATACTTTCTCTACTAGGATCATATGCACTTATGATTGGAACTCTAGCAAGCATCTGCAACTACTAAAGATCATTAAGGTCGTGAAACCCAACCATAGCATTAAGTATCAATTCCTCTTTATCGCATACGCCATAGCCCACCTACTCGGGTTTAATCTTCTGTCACTCTCGCAACCCACCATAAGCGGACCATGAACATATTTCAACACCCTACAGCGGGGGCCCCTCACGTTTGCGTGAGAACGGGGGGCACCGTAGGACAGCACCATAAATAAAATATACAATCATACCAACCAAGATCACGATTAACCCACAGGACAAAACGGATCTACTCAAACATCATAGGATAACCATAGATCATTGGGAAATAATATATGGAGTTGAGCACCATGTTTAAGTAGAGATTACAGCGGGGAGAAGGGGTGTTACACCGCTGCATAGAGGGGGAGAGAGTTGGTTTTGACGATAGCAAGATTGTTGATGTAGATCGTCGTCCCGATCGTTGCCCCGACGGCACTCCGGTGCCACCGGAAGAGAGGGGGAGAGAGAGCCCCCTCCTTCTTCTTCTTCCTTGGCCTCCCTCCTAGATGGAAGGAGAGTGCCCCCTCTGGTCCATGGCCTCCATGGCCGCGGAGGGGCGGGAGCCCCTCCGAGATTGGATCTCCCTCTCTGTTCTCTTCTGTTTCGCGTTCCCCAAATCTGGACCTTTACCGTTTCTTTAATTTCCCGGAGATCCGTGACCCCCCGATTGCGCTGAAATATTTTACACGATTTTTTCCATAAATCATCTTTCTTGCGCTAGAAGAAGGGCCCCAACCGACCTTCGAGGTGGGCACAAGACACCTGGGCGCGCCAGGGGGTGCCTGACGCACCCTGGTGGGTTGTGGGCTCTGTGGGCCCCGTTTGCGTTGATTCCACCTCCTAAAAATCACATACATTCCAAAATAATTCTCGTAAATTTTTATCTCGTTTGGACTTCATTTGATATGGATTTTCTGCAATACTAAAAACATGCAAAAAACAGGAACTGGCACTGGATCAATAGGTTAGTCCAATAAATCATATAAAAAGTTGCCAAAGGTGTATAAAAGTTGTATAATATTGGCATGAAACAATAAAAAATTATAGATATGACGGAGACGTATCAATTGCCATGTATCCATACTCTGTACTTCATTACTTCACTCCAAGATCCGGTATCAGAAATTGAACCTCATGTACATGAGCTCTACTCCGTTGTAAAATTCAAGGCTGCGTATGCGTGCAATATACCTACAATGGTAGGCAAGCAACAATGGGACATTGTTGAGCCTGGGTTCAAACTACAAGCTCCGGCGTTGAGGAGGCCAAAAGAATGACCAAGGAAGACTAGAATCAGATCCAGTACTGAAGGTGCTGGCCTTGGCGCTAGGAAAATGAAATGCAAGCGATGCGGAGGCTTCGAGCTCATAGCCAGATTGTGCAAAAATCTAGTTGACCCAACATTTGAAGAAGATAAGGCTGACTTCCAAGCTAGGGAAGCCCCTTTTGTGGCAGGAGAAGGCGACGCTGAGCTATCCATGGTTGCAAGTTTTGCTAGGTAACTCCAAAAGAACATTTGATTTCTATATGTATTTTCAACATATTTTTCCATTATTTTTTGCAACAAGACTAACTTCTCTGCAGCTCAAAGAGAAGTGTGAAGAAAGCAAATGTGAAGAAAACGGAGAAGACCACTAGGAAAAGGAAGGACATGCAAAAATGAACCTTGTAACACTACTAAAGGATCTTCAGGTGGATATGTTTCGTCTCTCATGCATATTCGAGATGCAAATGTTGAACCACCAGACTACCCTGCCCAAAACACAAGAAGCAAAAAAGGCTGCGCGTGTGAAGTTTGTGTGATGGTGACCTTTTGTTTGTGAATCTGGGCATGTTTCTTTTGAACCTTATGCATGTTTTGAGAATTTGGACCTTTATATTTCAAACCAACAAGTCGATGTTATTCAACCTTATATATGCTTGTGAACCTGATTTGTGTGAGGTCGAAAACTAACAACGGGATATTTTTGAACCTTATGTGTGTTTGTGCACCTTTCTGTGTTCGTGCCATTCTCAGAAAAATGGGCCGCACAATGCTGAAATTCTCAGACAAATTTATAAAACCATGTGCTCTTGCTATCATATGTGTTGTTGTTGTCAATTAGTGTGTGACGCATCAATTAGCTAGCAACAAGAATATTATGCTGCTTTGTTTGACTATTATGTTTACCTTAAGGATATAGGGTATGTATTTCCTTCTACATCAAAACATTCCTCTAACTTAGTTGGTTAACACGCGCAGCCGTCCAGGTCGTCGTCTTGTGTTCAAACCCCCGGCGCCAATTTTCATGTTCTTATTTTAGACTCGCCTTACAGATGGGCCCACAGGTCAACAAAGAGAGGGGAGTTGACAAACAGGGTAAGAATACTTTTGTCAACTATCTTCGGTCAACATGCATTGACCTAACGGTGAAAATGGCTATTTCGACCACGCGCCAACGAAACAGTGGCATTTTTTAGTACTGAAAAATTTTAGTGGCAAAATGAGTAGTGTAGTACAAGTGATGACAAAACTGATAAAAACCCTGCTATTTCCAATGTTTGTATTTTCTGCATTTTCTGTTGAAGAACAAAACTATGGTGTAAATGACTCATGTTCAAAATAAATAGAGATTATTTATCTCTATATTTGTAATTGAGATCTTATTTCTTGCAAATAAAGAATCGATTAACCTTTGCAAAATTCAAAATGAAGCATCAAGTCATGACACACGACATTAGGAGGACGAGTGGATGTTATACTCCCTAGTGTTACGGGATATACTCTGCACAATATGTCATATTAAGTAATTTGAAATTCACACTAATGATTCCGAATCAACTTCTTGAAATTTTTATTAATTTTGCAAAGTTCATTATAATATCAACCATGATGGTCTTTAATTTACCAACTGTAAATTAATTATATCTAATTTACCCATGTAAGTAACTGATGGCTAAGAATTCGACTTATGTGGGTTTCCATCACGCTGCAGCCCCGTTCACAAATACTGTATTAGATATTCTACTAGCTTTTTCACAAATACTGTATTAGATGTTCTACTAGTTTTTTCTGAATCAGATGTACGTAGACACGTTTTAGCATGTCCATTGATTTCAGTCAGTCCGAATATAGTTCATATTATAAAATATCCAAAACATCTCACGTGTCTGAACTAAGGAGCATTTCATTCACTGTCATCGACCATATTCCGATTTCTCAGGTTCCTCCAGGCATAAGTGGAACTAGAAACCTGAACGCTATACAACAAATTCTTCAAATGCAGAAAAGATCTACTCAGATGCAATTACAATGCAGCGAAATGGAATTCAGCAGAAGAGCTAGAGAGAATTACAACGCAGCGAAGCGATTCACCGGAGTACCAAACATGGGACATGTTCCAATAATACAACGCCACCATTAAATGTTTATGTTTGCCGACAGATTCCAGCAGGATGTAAACGACACTACTTAGCCCCCCTGATTTCTTCTTGCTTGCTTGTAGGCAGAATGTCCTGACTACGCCTGAGACAAGCTGGCACGGATGTTTCTTCCCAACATGCGCCCGACTCCCGGCAAACCACGATAAATGGCTTGCTGCTAGGCTTTTCAGTCCAAGAGAGCAAGGGAGCTGACCTTAGGCAGCATCACTGCGCAGGATCGCCACCGGCTTCTCCAGCATCTTCCTGAGAACCAGCAGATGCCTGTGTTGACATTGCCAGGTCCGTTTCCTCATTGTCGGTTGTAGTGGCCTCAGCATCACCATTGCCGCTTGATCCTCCTGCTCGGGAGGCTTCACCACGAGGCTCCCCAACTAGAAGAATTGTTCTTGATCGACGACCTGGGATTTCCCCGTCTGTGTAGTGTAGGATGGACCTGCCTGACCGCACAATGAAGACCATCGTTATGGACGTGGCGTGCAAAGATCTCTCACTGACGCCCTCGTCACCTTCACCGACTCCAACCCCATCTTCTCTGCCACTGATCCCCGAACGCAGCATGCTGAACAAATCCCCAAGATCACGCTGCTGCTCCATCCTATGCCAGTCTCGCTGTCGATTGGGGTCCACCTCCGTTGGTCGTACAGCAGGATGATCCTCCCTTGCGTGCTTCCTCAACTGGTTGTATGCACCCTTGAACTCACATGACTCCATGGTGCATGCTCGATCCTTAGAATTCATGAACTTCCGTGCATCATAATCCTTAGTCCAATGGCTGACCGGCCCACGGCATAATGGACATGCCAGTTTAACTGGCTGCTGGCACTCAGCGCATTCTGCTGCCCCTGAATCCTTAGAGGACTCCTTGGAGGCTTTGCGGTACTGATCAAGGCAATTGGAGTGTCTGTAGCTTGTGTCGCAAATGAAAGGGCGGCAACCTTTCTCATGTGACGAGCAGACAAGCATAACAGCATTATGAGGGTGATCCATGCACACAGGACAGCGAACCTCCTCCCATTCTGCAGCCTGCTTTGCTGCTGCAGCAGCGGTGGCAGCAGCGGCTTCCTCTGACCTGCGAGAACCACTCCGCAACTTGTATGGGGAGACACGAGATCGGCAGCCCTCGTGCGAGACTGAACGGGAGCTCCTGTCCTTTGGCATAGTTACCTCAAGTCAGTCAGATGCAAGTTGCTGTTGGTTTGTTTGAAAATTCTCTGCAATCCAAAGGAAAGCGCTACACAGAGAACAAGACAGACGCTAGGTTGATTTCTTATATCCAACTTCAAATTCTGAAAGAGAATAACAGCAACAAAGCAAGAGTTTAATCAGGTCGCAAGCAGCATATTCTAGCAGGCTACATATATATACAACAAGGGATTACACTGTTATGAACAAGAAGGCGATTTAATCTTCACGGACAAGCAATTCACAAGTCTGGCACTAAAACCATCCCTGATATACGAAACAAAATAAACTTAACCCCCGTCTGGAAATGAACACCTCCCTACGAAACCAGACAAACTTTACAAGTCAAATCGCCTAAAAATCAGGACATTTTTTAGCAATCGTGCACAGGCACGGCAGAAGTGTTGGTTCACAGGGTAGTTGGAGGACTACATCTAGGAACGCCATCAACAATCCGGCCCAAACAACGCAGACAAACCAAAATACAGCGGCAGACCACTGCCCTCCATCGATCCGCTCGAAAAGCGAACGCGCCGAACAAATTCTCCCACAGAACCCGCAAGAGACATGGTCCGCAAGTTCCGGCACGAGAGGCAGCCGAATCGGGCGGGGTCAACGGCGGAGCGGGCCAGATCGGCGCCGGCGAGATCGAGCTGCGACGGTGAGCGGAAGCGGGAGAGGGAGGAAGTTTTACCGTGCCGAACAGTCAGGGGTAACAGCGAACCGCGTCCGTGGCCGCCGGAGACCCTCGGCGGCGTCGGCGGCGGCGCCGAGACCTAGGAGGGTAGCGGCGAGGAGACGCTAAGGTAGGGGAGGAGGGGAAGGGAAAGGAAAGGAGAAGGAAACGAGAGTGTGATGGGCGGGTCGGCTTTGCTACGTCTTTATAGGTGGGGCGTCTGACGTGGACAGTGACGTGGTTGGCTAAGGCTCGCTCGCTCGCACCCTCGCGACGGATGCCCAGGGGCTCCACCACGTCGGCCAGCGCGGCCGCCTTCCGTGATCCGACCTCACTGTGCGCCGACCCCGCACCTGCCAAGTGGTCCCTACCTGCCGGTGTTGCGCTAGCGTCGGTACATCGAGGGGGGCACCATAGACTCGGTAGGTTGTCAGTGAGAATGATGCGTAGGGGCCACCACTGCACCGGCGGTTCATGTGGCGTGACTGCGAATGTATGCGATCTGCCACGCCAGCTCGTGCCATGCTAGAATAATGAAAAGCTCTTCGTCGATGACAGGTGGCCCAACGCTCGTGCGTGGGTCCAGCTAAGGGGGGCGCCGTGTGTGCCTAGAACGGTGGGTGAGGAATAACCTGGTGGGAGCCATGGAGAGTAGGCCGTACGCTAGATTTAATAACAATCCCCACTCTAGTGGCCTTTGGATGCCTTTGTTTGAACTTTTCGTTGTCCAGGCCCAGGCCCTCGGGGCTTGAACAAGTAGAAGGCATCCTTCAAATTCAAAGTTATATCCTGGAGTAGTTTTGAGTAGTAACATGCATACGAAAAAATATTAAAGAAACTTGGGTTCCGGCACACCCTATATGTAAAAAATAATTAGTAATTTAGAAAAGTTCAAAAAATATCAAGTAGAACTTGGGTTCCGGCACACTCTATATGCAAAAAATAATTAGAACTTAAAAAAGTTCAAAAAATTCTAAAACTTTTTTGATATCAAACATGATCAAGTATTGTAGTCGTATAAAAAGATTCATCAGAAAATGACTTTCGTTGCATCCTGGGTCGAAGATTTGGCAAAAAAAAAAACGATATATGCAAGTACTATGCATGATATATTGTGGTCATAAACTTGTCTTTTTTGCCATGAAGTCAATATGAATCATTTCTTGTCCAAACTTTTTATACAAGTACAATACCTGATTATCTTTGATTCCAAACAAGATTTGGAATTTTTTGAACTTTTTTGAATTACTATTTTTTTTGCGCATATAGGGTGCGTGGGTACCCGAGAGCACCAAGTTCCCGTCCTATGCATATGTTACTAGTCTATATTACTATCTCTGTAGTGAGGAGTAACATATGTGTGGTGTTATACAATATTTTCTTTATTAGGCTTCTTCCGGTATCATGCACTTAGACTCGCAAACATGTTTACGTGGCAGATAACTAAAGAAGAGAGAGGGTTATAGTAACATAGGTAGATATTGAAGGAAATATGCCCTAGAGGCCAATAATAAAGTTGTTATTTATATTTCCTTATATCATGATAAATGTTTATTATTCATGCTAGAATTGTATTAACCGGAAACTTAGTACATGTGTGAATACATAGACAAACAGAGTGTCACTAGTTTGCCTCTACTTGACTAGCTCGTTGAATCAATGATGGTTATGTTTCCTAACCATAGACATGAGTTGTCATTTGCTTAACGGGATCACATCATTAGAGAATGATGTGATTGACTTGACCCATCTGTTAGCTTAGTACGATGATCGTTTAGTTTGTTGCTATTGCTTTCTCCATAACTTATACATGTTCCTATGACTATGAGATCATGCAACTCCCGAATACCGGAGGAACGCTTTGTGTGCTACCAAACGTCACAACGTAACTGGGTGATTATAAAGGTGCTCCACATGTGTCTCCAATGGTGTTTGTTGAGTTGGGATAGATCGATATTAGGATTTGTCACTCCGAGTATCGGAGAGGTATCTCTTGGCCCTCTCAGTAATGCACATCACTATAAGCCTTTCAAGCATTGTGACTAATGAGTTAGTTGTGGGATGATGCATTACGGAACGAGTAAAGAGACTTGTCGGTAACAAGATTGAACTAGGTATTGAGATACCGACGATCGAATCTCGGGCAAGTAACATACCGATGACAAAGGGAACAACGTATGTTGTTATGCGGTTTGACTGATAAAGATCTTCGTAGAATATGTAGGAACCAATATGAGCATCCAGGTTCCGCTATTGGTTATTGACCAGAAGTGAGTCTCGGTCATGTCTACATAGTTCTCGAACCCGTAGGGTCCGCACGCTTAACGTTCGGTGACGATCGGTATTATGAGTTTATGTGTTTTGATGAACCGAAGGTTGTTCGAAGTCCCGGATGTGATCACGGGCATGACGAGGAGTCTCGAAATGGTTGAGACATAAAGATCAATATATTGGAAGCCTATGTTTGGACATCGGAATGGTTCTGAGTGGTTCGGGCATTTTTCCAGAGTACCGGGAGGTTACCGGAACCCCCCGGGAGAAGTTATGGACCTTATGGGCCATAAGAAGGAAGCACACCAGCCCACAAGAGGCTGGTGCACCCCTCTTGGGCAGGAGGACGAATTGGAATAGGTTTGGGGGGGGGTGCTTTCCTTCTCTCCTACTCCTCCTTCCCTTCCTCTCCTACTCCAACTAGGGAAGGGGGGGAATCCTACTCCCGGTGGGAGTAGGACTCCCCTAGGGCGCGCCATAGAGAGGGACGGTCCCTCCCCTCCTCCACTCCTTTATGTACGGGGGAGGGGGCACCCCATGGACACATAAGTTGATCATTGATCTTTTAGCCGTGTGTGGTGCCCCCCTCCACCAAAATCCACCTTGATCATATCGTAGCGGTGCTTAGGCGAAGCCCTATTCCAGTAGCATCATCATCACCGTCATCACGTCGTCGTGCTGACGAAGCACTCCCTTGACACTCTACTGGATTGTGAGTTTGTGGGACGTCATCGAGCCGAACATGTGCAGATCGCGGAGGTGTCGTACCTTCGGTGCTAGGATCGGTCGATCGTGAAGACGTATGACTACATCAACCGCGTTGTCATAACGCTTCCGCTTACGGTCTAAGAGGGTACGTGGACAACACTCTTCCCTCTCATTGCTATGCATCACCATGATCTTGCCTGTGCGTAGGAATTTTTTTGAAATTACTGCGTTCCCCAACAGTGGCATCCGAGCCAGGTTATGCGTAGATGTCATATGCACGAGTAGAACACAAAGGAGTTGTGGGCGTGGGTGTATACATTTTGCTTGCCGTCACTAGTTGATTCTTGATTCGGCGGTATTGTTGGATGAAGCGGCCCAGACCGACACTACTCGTACGCTTATGCAAGACTGGTTCTACCGACGTGCTTCGCACACAGGTGGCTGGTGGGTGTCAGTTTCTCCAACTTTAGTTGAATCGGATTCAATGAACAGGGTTCTTTCTGAAGATCAAAAAGCAATCACTATACGTCGTTGTGTTTTTGATGCGTAGGTAATAACGGTTCTTTCTCAGCCCGTAGCAGCCACGTAAAAACTTGCAACAACAAAGTAGAGGACGTCTAACTTGTTTTTGCAGGGCATGTCGTGATGTGATATGGTCAAGATGTGATGAGATATAAATTGTTGTATGAGATGATCATGTTTTGTTAAAGTTATCGGCAACTAGCAGGAGCCTTATGGTTGTCTCTTTATTGCATAAGGTGCAAGCGCCATATAATTGCTTTACTTTATCACTATGCGATATCAATAGTTGCAAAAGCAATAGTTGGTGAGACGACCATGTGACGACACGTTGATAGACATCAAGATGATGGAGATTATGGTGTCACGCCGGTGACGATAGAGATCATGACTGTGTTTTGGAGATGGAGATCAAAGGCACAAGATGATGATGGCCATATCATGTCACATATTTTCATTGCATGTGATGTTTATCCTTTATGTATCTTATTTTTCTTAGTTCGGCGGTAGCATTATAAGATGATCTCTCACTAAATTTCAAGGTATAAGTGTTCTCCCTGAGTATGCACCGTTGCAACAGTTCATCGTGCCGAGACACCAAGTGATGATTGGGTGTGATAAGCTCTACATTCACATACAACAGGTGCAAGCCAGTTTTGCACACGCAGAATACTCGGGTTAAACTTGACGAGCCTAGCATATGCATATATGGCCTCGAAACACTGGAGACCGAAAGGTCAAGTGTGAATCATATAGTAGATATGATCAACATAGTGATGTTCACCATTGAAAACTACTCCAT